TAAAAACAGGAGGAATAAAATAACTATTTCAAGGGAGAGAAATATCCCCATGTGGGACAGGTAATCGCTGTCAGCGCAGATATAGTGACAGGTGAATTCACTTTCCGCCTCCAGCTGTGGGCACCAATATTCYACTGAGAGTCCCTTTCCCCTTTAGYTGTGATTTTCAAAAGGAATTCCCATTCCCAAACAAAGCCTAAAATTGTCAGTGTCACCATTTGYCCAAATTTGGGGTGAATTTTCCAAGTGGACGAATGCAGCAGGCTCCTGACAATGAGAGGGCTCGGTGCCAAATGTTCCAGCTTTTGCTGTGATGCTTGAACTGTTCCACTGATTTTGCTGAAATCTTCCAAAATAATTCAGTGTGAKGTGAATACCCTGTAAATTTATAATTTGGATCACCCAAAAGAAATCCTGTTACTGGAGAGGGAATTTTCACAAGGACAGGAGGGGATGGTTTTAAATTGACAGAGAATCGAGTTGGGTGGGATATTGGGCAGGAATTGTTCCCTGGGAGGGTGGGCAGGCCCTGGCACAGGGTGCCCAGAGAAGCTGTGGCTGCCCCTGGATCCCTTTGAGTGCCCAAGGCCAGGCTGGACATTGGGGCTGGGAGCAGCCTGGGACAGTGGGAGGTGTCCCTGCCATGGCAAGGGGGTGGAATGGATCTTTAGGGCCCTTCCATCCCAAACCATTCTGGGATTCTGTGATTTGGGAGCTCTGAATTAATTTAGAAATGTTGTAGCTACTGTGACAGGACATTTCTTAATGACCTAATTTCTCTAAGTGTTCCTGTTGTTGGTTGATGCATTGCTATATTCAGCTGCAAGAATAGGGTTAAATAAAAATATTCTGTTTATTGCTGAGTTTATCAYAAAGAACTAAACCAAGAAGGTCCATATTTTGCTCCAACCCATCCTGGATGTAACTCCCTTTGGGAGTCAATCAAACCCATGCTTGATGTGAACCTTCAGTTGTTTTCAAGTTTTGCTGAAYCAGAACTGGATGGAACAACTCCAGTAACAAATGAACCTGAACTGGAAAAAAAAAAGGATAAATTATATGAACTTCTGTAGAACGATCCATACATTTGTTTTTGTACCTGATTGTCACAGAATCCTCGTAGAATAGTTTGGGTTGGAAGGACCTTAAACATTCTCCTTTTTCACCCCCTGTCATGGGCAAGGACACCTTACACCAACCAAACACAAACAAATCCAAAAAACAAAAAAAAAAACCCCTCCAACCCAAAAAGCAAAAAAAAAAAACATGGTCATTTCTGGAACATTATTTTAAATATATTTAAATTGTTTAGAATAATCAGACTTTATATTTGCCTCAACTCAGAGCTGAAATGAATGGATTAGTTGGTTTAGAATGACAATATTCCTCATTTGGAATAACCATAGGGAAGCTGGAGTTACCCAAACTTTATTTGGGTACCCAGAACCTGTTTTTCTGATGGTTTTTTAATAGTTTTCAAATCTTTGCTCAGTGAACAGCAGTGAGGAATCATAGAATGGTTTSGGTTGGAAGGGACCTGACTTAAGAAATTCTAGAGGAGAAATTCTACAGTTGGTAAAAAGTCCTGACAAAATCCTACACTTTTAAGTTCATTCCTTGCCACCAGAAGAGCTCAGAGATTATTAAGTTTAATAAAACAGTACAAATATTATTTATATGCTAGACAATTTTTAGGCAATTTCTTGGTTTATATAAGAACATTTGACAAACTCAACATTGTTTTTTCAGAGCACCTGAGTGGAAAGGCTGTTCTTGAACACCAAGGAGGGAGTAGAAGAAACAAATKATGCACTGAACAACAGGAAGTAAATTGAAATCCATTATCTTTGGTGGAGAAATCACCAAATCCCAGCTCTGCACCATACAAGTGCTGATGTTCTYGAATCCTTGGAAAGGGGGAAGGTAATAAAAAAGAAATTAAAATCTCTGCACCACATACAGGGACTGTACACACATTAAATCTTCCCAGTGTTTTCTAAAACATTTCTTCACTGCATAGAAATTTTCTTTTCATTAAAAATGGTGCTTTAAAGTATATCAGAGTTAAAAGAACTAATGAGAAAATATTACAGAAAGCAGCAAAATAAACTTATTTATTYACATATCAAGGTCAGAAAAGCAAATTGAGATGAAACAAAAGTAAGGGAAAATCCAGAAGGAAAGTGCAAAGAAAATGAGAGAGAGAGTAAAGTTGAGAGAGATAAAATAAAAGGGAAAAAACCCATAAAGTATAATATTGGTCAAGGAATTTTCAATGTATTTAAGGATGAACTAATTTTCCAGCAAAAATACACAATTTTGAATGGAATTCCCTCAGAGTAACTTTAAAAAGGGCTTGAACTGACTAAAARTCGCACTGAGCTTGACTTGCCACTCAAAAAAATTAGTAAATAAGGAAAATAATGTTATGGAACAAAACAAAAAGAGTGGCTAAAACAAAACAAGCTATTCAGATATTTAAAAATATAAATTGGAATAGTTTGGTGGGAAAAGAGAATAATAATGGAATATCCTGAATAAAAAGTACTTAAGAATCAGGAAAAAAAAAGTCAAAGAAAGAAACAATTAGGTAATAATTAGATAATTTTTCCTAGTAAAAACTTGTTACCTGRTGTTATGAGATTCTGAATGATGATGTGCTAGTTGATATCTTTAAAAATGTTGTAAAAAAAGAACCTTCTAAARATAGTAAATTTTGCAGGCTTCTGTGTGAGAACTCATTGATGTGGAAGAAATATTTGGGAATTTTCCAGATAATCTAWGACAGGATACAGGTATGTAGAATTAAAACACTACAAAATAGTTGCACTTTCCAACTAAAGTCTGTATATTCTGTCAGCAGCAATAAATTGTAGTAGGCAGTGGTGAAAAAAAGGTGCTTTGTTTAAAAAATTTTCAAATTATATTAAATTAATAGTTAATGTGTTAGTTAAGAAGTTAATGTGTGAAATTGACTGACTCTATAAGTGTGATAGCACTTGAAGAATAATTTGGGATTTATGCAGATATTGAAAACATTGACAGTTGTATTAAACAAAAAAAAAATGTGGTGCCCAAAATTTTTGTGGGAGCAAAGTTTTGTAGTAACCTCACAGGGGACTGGAATGGAACAAAACCTTTTAATTTAAATATTGATTTGGGACAGAGAAAAAAAATTGTATCAGGATTTGATCTCCACACCCTCAGCTCTTTACATTTTCCTGTGCTATAAATAACTCCAAGTCTAAGATTACAATTCATGGCTTGGTTTTTATCTGCTGATGTTTCTCTCTGCTAGTTGTAAGGGGTGTGTAACTGGGGGTGCAGTTTGAGGTCTGTAATGGCAGATTTACACCCTGACTGCTCAGGTGGGTGGAGCTTCCTGAGGCAATAAACGCAGATTTTTCTTCTTGTCACATAGGAGGAAAACTGTGTAACTCAGTCCCTTAAATAGATTTTTCCATTGATAGAAGCCAATACAAAATGTTGAGTGATACAGTGTTTTTAATTATATATGTTTAGTATTTTGAACTGGGGTAAAGGACAGTATGGAAATTATTTTTAACTTTCATATAAAGCTGGATGGGGCTTGGAGCAGCCTGGGACAGTGGAAGGTGTCCCTGCCCATGGCAGAAGGCAGGATGGGATGATCTTTAAGGTCCCACCCAACCCAAACGGCTCCAGGATTCTGTGATTTATGATCTAAGCTTGAGGAATAACTCATAAACCCAAATCCTTTCTATCAGGAATAGAGGGGGCAGGCCCTGACGACCATCAAGGTATAAAAGCAACACTCAGAGAAAGCAAAACCATAGAGAAAAGAAAATTTCTGTTCTTGCCTCTGAGCTCACAGGGCAATGGTTCCACAGTATCCCAGGATCCCTGAGGTGGAAAAGCCCTCCCAGCCCAKGGAGTCCCAGCTGTGCCCGATGCCCAYCTTGTCCCCAGCCCAGAGCACTCAGTGCCACCTCCAGCCCTTCCTGGGACACYTCCAGGGATGGGGACTCCAAAGCTCCCTGGGCAGTCCCTGCCAAGGCCTGAGCACCCTTTCCATGGGCAAATTCCTCCTGGTGTCCACCCTGAGCCTCCCCTGGCCCAGCCTGAGGCCGTTCCCTCTCCTCCTGTCCCTGTTCCCTGGAGCAGAGCCCGACCCCCCCGGCTGCCCCCTCCTGTCAGGGAGTTGTGCAGAGCCACAAGGTCCCCCCGGAGCCTCCTTTGCTCCAGGCTCAGCCCCTTTCCCAGCTCCCTCAGCCGCTCCTGGGGCTCCAGCCCCTTCCCAGCTCYGCTCCCTGCCCTGGACACTCTCCAGTCCCTCCAGGGCTCTCCTGCCCTGAGGGATCAGAAYCAGACCCAGCCCTGGAGGTGTGAAATCCATGTTGTCCCAAATCCATAATGTCCCAAATCCACAATGTTCAAGAGCTGAAGAACTGGCTGCAGTGTGTGACCCTTCCCTCGCTAACAAGGTGGGGAAGGCAAACATGAAGATCCATGGTTAAGTGCTCCCAGAATTTCCAATGAGCTGGCCAGACAAAGGATCATTGGGAAAATAATAAAAGAAAAAGCCTTTATGCAAAAGAAGCAAGAGAAGAATGGATCAAAAACTGGCTGGATGACAGGAAACAGAAATAAAACAGAACTTAAAGGTCAGTTTTCAGAGAAGGGGGAGATCACAGGAGAAGTCTGCAGGGAGCTATGCTGTGGCTGGTGCTGCTTAATGTATTCCTAACTGATCTGGAGAAAGGGGCTGAGCAGGGAGACACCACAGATTGCTAAAAGTACTGAGGTATTCAGGTAAAGGAAAGGTAGAGGACAAATTGTGATGCAGTTAAAGGGCTAGCTGGAGAGCTGAAGAAGGACCTTAGAAGACTGAGCGACTGGATAATCAAATGACAGATAAAATCTGATGTAGTAAAGTAGTGCACATGGGTGGAAAATTTTGTGTACATAAGGATGGGCTGTAAGTGGTTTTGCTACTCACTAATGAGATCTTTGGGTTCTGATTAATATTTCTATGAAATATCAGCACAATGTTCCTTTTTACCGAGAAAAACAAATCAAATATTTGGAATTATTCAGAGAGCAAAACAGAACAAAACAGAGAACATTGTAGCTCACCTGCCCTGGTATAAATCCATAGTTCTCTGAATATTGAGCAGTGTGTGCAGTTCTTTTCCTGASATCTCAAAAAGGCTTCCAGGACCTGAAGAATTGACAAGAGAGAGGGAGAGAGACTTTGGACAAGGGCATGGAATGCCAGGACAAGGGGAAATGGTCTTAAGCTGAAAAAAAAGGGCAGGGACAGATGGGATATTAGGGAGAAATCCTCCCCTGGGAGGGTGGGCAGGCCCTGGCACAGGGTGCCCAGAGAAGCTGTGGCTGCCCCTGGATCCCTTTGAGTGCCCAAGGCCAGGCTGGACATTGGGGC